TTTTTTTTTTTTTTTTTTTTTTTTTGTCTTTTTGTCTTTTTTCCGTGTCCGGCAACGGATCACAACCCTCAGTGTTGCCCCCATACCGGACCGGGGACCGGCAACGGGATCGCAACCCTCGGTGTTGCTCCCGCGCCTCGCTCAGCCAGTGAGCGGGAACCGGTCTGTATGTGGGATCCGAACCCTCGGGCGGGAGCGCCGCCGCGCTTCCCAAGCGGCGCACTATCCAGTGCGCCACCGGGCCAGCCCCGAGATAAGTTTTTAATTAGTTAAACAAGTGCAAAGAAGATTACATCTAGAAGTAATTAATGGAACTTTATGCAGATTTAGATCAATTGGCTATGAAAGTTATGTAGAGATGTTGTGGCATTCATACGCACAATGCATTTGCAAATAAAAGATGGTCAAAAACATATTTGAATTGGATAAATGTTGTTTGACACAGAAGAGCAAATTGTTCTTTGAGATAACCCATTTTTATTGGTATTATTTTTTGAATATTGATTTTTTTATGAGTAAATGCCATGTGAGATCTTGCTGTAAAGATTAAATTCTCATCAAAGAGGGAGTGACAAATTATGTTCTTTACTGAAAGACTGTGTATTTGGTTTTGCTGCTGTTTCTTCATTGCCCCCGTTACAACTCAATTGAAAAGAGTTGGAGACAGAAGTAACTGCCCTGTATTGTTGGGTTGTTCTGTCTCACTGCATGACTTACTGGAAGCCTAATCTTTTTAATTTCCACAGCAGATTTAAGACATGATGGATGATTCTGTTAACTTTGTCCTCGTTTTCATATGGCTAACATTTCAAATACAAATCTGGCCCGTTTGACAAAAGGTGCCTAATGATAACTTATTCTCAAAGATATAGCTATAACCTTATAGAACTGTGACAGAAATAGCTTTTGCTGTTTTTGTTTGTTTTGGTTTTATTTTGATTTGGCTTTGGGTTAGAGGTTTTTTTGTTATAGAATGGAAATTATAACTAAGTAGTTTATAGTGGATTTGATGAGCCGGGGTGCTAGAGCTCAATAGCCAAAGGAGGACAGGAAAGCACTCTGAGTGAGACATTTCAGCTTCCATGACTAGCATGCATTTGTGGCATAGTGGTACTCTTCTATATAGCAACAGATATCCAGTACAAATAGAATGTGTCCCATGGAGAGATCTTTTTCCTATATTATGTGTCACACTCTCTTTCTTTGTAGATGAAACACTTCATTATTTTTCTTCCCTCCAAAAACATGATGGTGTTTAACTGTGTTTTCAGTTGCTACCCAAACACTATAAATAATGGGGCTAACTCAAAGAAAAAACTGTCCTGGAGCTTCTGGCACACAGAGTTTTTCTTTTTGTGCTGGGAAATTTTCTGCTTAGCTCAATAAGGGGACCTGAAATCAGTAGTAGACTGCTGTCAAGAGTAGAGCTTTGAGCAAGAGTTTAATCCTTTTATCCAAATATAATACCCTCATTCTGATTTGTAATGCACATTTTGTGCAGGTTTGAATGATAACTAGCCCCACATACTTCCCAAAGTTAACATATACTGCAGTTGGAGGACTACTCAGCTTTAATGTCACTATTTCTCTTTAGTTCCTCCCCATATGCAATTAAGTTAATCTCCCAACTGTGTTTCTTATTCTGCTCTAGAAACATGGTAAGTCCTTTTGGAAATGTTAAACTTCTGACTGTTGAGGAAAAGGCTATAAAACTTGTTTTAAAGTCTGTGTGGTATGCCTTAAGCATCAGGATAACCGTGGATATTTTGCAGTTTGCCACAGACTCACATCTCCAATTCCAAATCGCTTAAATACACTGCATAATTCATCTTTGGTCATGGTCTTCTTGGCTGAAAGTGTCATAATTAAAGTCTACAACTACAACTGTCTACAACTACAGTTTTAAAGCCTGAAGTGTTTGGTACCCTTCAAATATTTTCACTAATATTTTATTTTAAGCACTACTTAATGCCTGTGTGACTTTGGAGTTTGTTACTGAAACTCTGCCTCAATGACTTCAACTGTTAAATGGGAATAGTAAGTGATACGGGTTATATGTGAATTTATTTTAAGTCCTTAGTGTATTTCCTGTCGTATAATAAACATTTGTATCGTTAAGGAGTGTCGTAAGTTCACAGTGACCAACAGTGCTAGGATCCCTTTTTTTTCTCTGACTATAGTTTAAGCAATGTTAAAGAAACTAGAACATTATTTCTCACTTTCTTGCAAGGGGCTGTGTCTCATGAGCATGCTTGTTTAGGAACAAAATGCTTTCTTAAATCATCTTAAATCACACTGCTTTCTAGCTTTTACCTGTGCTCTGCCTTCTTCCTTCTAAATAAATGACTAGCTGTGTCTACTACAGTCTTTCACAGCTGCTAACATTTGAACATTTCTGAAGATATATGTCCTCTGAGCTGTTGTCCGGAATGCCTTGTGGGGTCATTCGCTAGACTGAAGAAAACAGACAGACTTATAAGCTGGGATCTATTTCAAAAATTCATTGCTATAGAGGAAAATACTGAGTAAATAGGTGACTAGAATATTTCTGTATCATTTTCTGGTATATAAAGTAGACAAGAAGCAGCTTACTTAGGGACCACAAAGGGCGGGAAAGCTGTAACAGCTTCTGTCTTGGTTTTGCTGTCTTGGTGAGGGAACATGATGAGTGCATCTTGCCAGCTCATTTTTTAGGGAATCACACAGCACAGGCGCTGGCTCTGCTGTGAGCGTAGTCCCTGGGTGGACCGCCCTGAGAGAAGCTGTTCCAGGAAATGTGTATACAACATTTCTCCTTCTTGCATCAGAGAAGATTGCGTGGGGCCTTTGTCTTCCAGCATGTTGGGAAACTTAAGATGGTTTCTGGATAGAACTTAAGAATAAATTTCATTTTTGCATATACAGAATAATCCAGTTATTACAGATGATCTTTTTCCAAGGTTGTATTTTTAAACATTTCATTGCTCCCACCCAAAAGATCCTTTAGACTTTAGTAAAGAAACTGCTTGATTGTGTCCCTGGATGAACTCTTAAGCACATTAGTGGTGATTATGTTAAAAGAGGAATTGTACCCATAAAATGTCTAAAAACTTCGTATGCTTCTTAAAGAGATTTCATTTTTTCCTTCATTTTGCATTGTTTGTTATCACAAAGAAGGGTGTTCACAAATGGCCCTTGCCCTTGGGGTCGTTCTTATACCTTCACTCATTGTATGTAAGTTTGCCAAGTTTCTTATGTATGTTTTGATGGGAGCACTAGCTTGTAATTGCATAGCTTGCATTCGACTATGAAAGTTAATCTGTCTTGAGAGCCAAACTGTCGCATTTATATATAATGGGTACCAGATCTAAAAAGAAACGATCCATGTAATCAAAGATCAGGATGGGCATCCGGAAAGTTAGGCATCAGTGCTCATGAGGATGTCTTATCTCTATTTTCTGTGCTTATTCTCTCACTTTCTGTGGACAGTGGGATGGGAATTTATTGAAATATGTATTAGCATAGTTCTGTTTGGAGAAGATAGCATTGACAAACATGTCAGAAAGAACAAAAATTCAGTAAGACAGAATTTATTGATCTTTTCAGAATTTTACTGGAGATTCTAAAAGAATTATTCTGAGTTTTTTAAAAATGATAAACACATTACTGTATAAATTTGGTTTATAATGTAATGCTGGAAAACATTCATATTCATTAAGTGCATTATAAAATTGAATCTCTTTGTTACCAGAACATCTCCTTTCCATTTATGTTGGAGATTTCCATATAATGTCAAGGATACTCTTTAGATATTTGTGTAAATAATGTTTTTCCTTATGATCTATAACTTTGTAACACAGGAAGGGGGTATTCTTATATTCTGGTAATAAGG